AAAACACATACTTCCTATTAAATTAGCAGTTTTTTGTTTTTTTTTTGGTTTATTATTCACAGACACTAGTCCATCATCACAATTCGATTAAGTGTACTGACCTACCTTTGATTTATTCATCCAAAATTTGCCAAGGTTCAAAGTAGTAAGACGTAACGATCCTTCATTTGCTGAAATCGAGTTTGAATCAAGCTCTGAACTGCTGATTTGAAACTAAAGATTTGTAAACGTTTCGAAGCTTCATGAAGCCGTGTTTCAAAAACACTAATAAGTACACCATTCTGCAAGCATTCAAAAGTAGCCATCACTTATTGACTTAACTGTGCCTAATTATATGCTAACTTTATGCAACTTGCATTTAGATGAGTGGGGATGCTGACAGATTATTCCAGGTATTCCAGCTTCACAGCTAAACGAAAACCGGCTGCACTCTTAAAAATAAAACTTCCATGAGGGAGGTTTCACAGAGATGCCATAGCTAGAAGAACCATTTTTGGTTCCCCAAAGTACATTTCAGTGTACAGTTCTTAAAAGAAACAACATTTAAATAATCTAAAGACCCTTTTCCACTATAAAGAACCTTTTGGGGAATGAAGAGGTTCCGTAGATGTTAAAGGTTCTTCATGGAACTAAAGATGCCAATAAAGAACCTTTATTTTTAAGAGTTTAGTCCAACTTTAAGTGCTCAGGGCACATTTTAGCAAACACCGTAAGACTGTGACATACTGTAGTTTGTTTCATTTCCTTCAGTCTGTCTTTTACATACCCCGCAGGAATCTTCAATGACACAGAAGAGAGCATTGTGTGCCAAGCGTTCAAGAAATGGTGTGATGAACAGTGTGAAACCACCATGAAACCAGAATAACACACCACAGGAAATGTTGAGTCTGATTATATTCCTGAACCAAGAAAAACATCTGTGCTGCAAAAAGAAACACATCAAATCATGAATGAAAACCTCCAGAAATTGTGAAAACCACTCAGTTTTATTTCATTCCCAATACACTTGACAAGCTTTAAAACCTAACAATGAAATGCTACTTTCCTCATAAAGCTCATATAAAGAGTGAAAGGTGACTTTCCCAACAGGTTTAACATGGGCCGGCTTCCAGTACTGAATTCATAGGAAGTTAATGCTTTATAAAGAAATTCAACCAAAAAAAAATCAACATTACAAGCTATCTTAAGTCCTTTCTTAAATAATGTTTGGTTAAGCTTCAAAAATATAAAACAAAAGTATATTAACAAAACGAAAACTATCTCTAGCCAAGACACTTCTATAAAAGACAGACTGTGTTTGTTATTAAAAGGCGTTTGGTTGAAGTTCCACGGAAGCGTTTTGAAGGCACCTTTCATTGATGTCACTGATACATATGCATTCATACAGGAGCCTTGTGCTTTACCTGTTACCTGATTGTCTGAATTATTGCTCAGAAAAAAAATTGCAACAGCCAGTTTTGCTATAAATCCACGAGATACATGACAGTTTCACTGCATATTTAGACTCCACTTGGAATTTAGTAGTCAACACTGCGTAACATCACATTCAGAGGACGACTTTCAGTAGTTTCTGTCTATAGGGGAAGGAGTTTATGTAATACACTATTCTTGAAAGTTTTGTAGTGCTTCAAGACACTTCAGCTTTAAGCCAGAATACAATACAATCTTGATCAAACCCTGCGGGTCAGTATTAACTAGGTTTGGTGGTCCTACTGAGAGATCATCCCCTCTACTTCACCCGAGGACCGAACCGGTTAGGTTCCACAGTCTAAGACTAAGTCTAAAATCACACATATAGAATAGAACATTTCATTTAAAGGAATAGTTCACAAAAAATTGAAAATTAGGAACATCGTCGTCTTACGCTCACGTAGCTCTAAACCCATGTACTGTACATTTTTACAAATGTATTTATTTATTTATTTTCCTTTTTGGAAATTGGCAGTCCCTGTGGAAGCCTGTTTCAGCATGGAATAAAAATAAATAGGTAATTGTGACTTTCTCGCAATTCAGAACCCCCCCCCCCCCCCCCCACCCAACACAAAAAAAAAAAAAAAAACAACAGGAGG